TCCTTTAACAAGCAACACATTTTCGATAATGGGTGAAGAAGTTTTACCAATACTACCTTTGTCGATGATCTTTCCCTTACTATTGTCTCCGAAGGTTACGCGACCTCCTCATTTGGATTTAAGGGTTAAGAACATTGCTCTATTGCTGATCATGTGCCTTGAGCACGCACTATCAAGGTACCACCGGTTGTTGCTGGATTTTGACCTAAAGCACACCTGCAAAAATCAAATTTTCGTTGGCCTTTTGGTACCCATTCTTTCTTGGGTCCATGAGAGTTAGGAGTTGAAGTATTTTTGGGAACCCACTTCTTTTCATTCTATCAAATGAGTTTCTCTTAGCAGGACATGAAAGAGAGATATGACCTTTTCTTCCACAATAATGACATGTGACATGAGAATGGTTAGATGATGCATGAAAAAGGTCTTTTTCGAATTTTTTGCTTTTGAAAAAGTTTATATCCAATTCCCATTCTTCCAAAGGTTTGATTTTGACTTTTAAGAATTTTATCTTAGGTATCTCTACCTTGAGTAAATTTTGAAAGAATATTTTTTTAAATCTTCTATGTTTTCATTTAAACAGTTTTCTCCTTTTTCAAAGTTTCATTTTCTTTTTGCAAATCATCTACTTTCTTTTCAAAAATGAAAGATTCTTTTTCATTTGAAAATTCTTTCTCATTTTCCCTTGTCAAGACTTCATTTTCTAAAGTATTGATCTTAGAAGTCAAGAATTCATTTTCTTGAGATAAACTTGAGATTATTTGCTTTTGACAACTACTTTTCATACTTAATTTTTTAAATTCAGCATGTAATTCATCAAATGTAGTTTGTAATTCATCAAAGGTAAAGGAGTCATCATTTTCCTCATTTTCATCTTTAAGTGCCATCGAGCATAGATTTGCGATTTCATTTTTGCAAATATCAGTCTCTGAGTCGCTGTCATCACTGTCTTCTCCCCATGTTGCGATCATGGCTTTCTTCTTGTCCTTCTTGAATTGTTTCTTGAGCTCTGGACATTCTGATTTGTAATGTCTCGGCTTGTTGCATTCATAGCAAGTATGAATGAGCGTGAGCGAAAGCCCAGTGAATAATATCAAATCAAATACAGAAGTTACATAACAATGTAGAACAACATGTTCCAAACGGCCTTGGGCCCAATTTACATTTTAACTAGTATATACATACAAAGACACATGTAAGTTAAGCAACTGAGGTTCCAAACACATCATATGGCCTCGGGCCCAATTCATTCGTTTCATTGTCAAACTATTACTCGTGTCAAACTGGCCTTCAGCCTTTTCAAACTTTCATATCAAACTGGCCCTTAGGCCTATTTACACTTTCGTGTCGAAACGGCCTCTGGCCCATTCATTCATGTCTTGTCAAAACGACCTTCGGTCCATTCATTTGTGCCAAAACGACCTTCGGTCCATTCATTTGTGCCAAAACGACCTTCGGTCTATTCATTTGTGTCAAAACGGCCTTCGGCCCAATCACTTATGTCAAAACGGCCTTCGGCCCAATCATTCATGTCAAAACAACCTTAGGTCCATTCGTATATGTCAAAACGACCTTCGATCCACTCATTTCTATCAAAACGGCCTTCGGTCCGTTCATTTCTGTCAAAACGACCTTCGGTCCATTCGCTTACGTCAAAACGGCCTTCGGCCCATACATTCGTGTCAAAACGACCTTCGGCCCACTCATTCATTTCAAAACGACCTTAGGTCCATTTATTTCTATCAAAACGACCTTAGGTCCATTTATTCATATCGAAACGACCTTCGGTCCATTCATATACTCATGTCAGACTTTTGTCCACAATCCCAATTAGCAACTCATAAAGCTCATAAGGGAATAATAATTGGACATTCACAATCATTCAAATATTGATATTACTCACAGTGATCGGCTTGTGGATTTGCCCTGGAACTTGACCCTACACATTTCATGAACACAAAAGGGTCACTAACAGTTCAATCCATTCTTTAATTCACACATTTCTCTTTAGGCTTTATTCTTATCTCATTAACTCATTTACAATGCTCAATGCATGCCTAAGAGTGCTTACAAGTGAAAGAGAACGGAAAACGAAACACAGAACGAGCATACAAAATTTTAGAAAATAGGGTCCACGCTCGAGCGTGGACTTACCCGCTCGAGCGGACCCAAGAGGCCTGCAAAAGTACTGGTTGCATCAGAAATACGCTCGAGCGTTAAATAGGGAGCTCATGCAGAAGGCCTGTCAAAATAGCTCCCTCGCTCGAGCGTGAATTACCCCGCTCGAGCGGACATCAAGTCTGCAAAAAGTACTGGGAGCACGCTTTTCCCGCTCGAGCGGATCTCAAAATTCTGGAAAACCCAGAATTGTGTTCTTGAGCTTCACTTCGATGATCAACCAACAATTTATGCATGTTATGGCTCAAATTACTCATAGACATGTACTAACATGGTACAAGCATTATTTACAACATATTGAAGCTCAATTTCATAATTTATTTGCATGCATGTCCCAAAATATCACAACCTTATCACCAACATGCTCAAATTCAAACATTCAAGACTTATACTCCCATGATTTGTACATGCATGCCCTTTTTGACTTCATATTCACTTCAAATAATGTAATTAGTGCTCATTACCATAAAATTTAACAAAGACATGCTTGCATGTGGGATTACACTACCAATCTTTCATAATTCCACAAATTACATGCTAGATTTGTGATTCCATGGGAGTTCATTACATGCATGCACATATCAAGCCTCAATTCCAACAAAATGATCTCAAATCATGCTCTTGATCACAACAACCCTTGAACACACAAGATTACACATTAAACTCATGAATTCAAGAATCAATGCTTACCTAGAGGCTCAATCTTCACAACTATGGCCAAGTCTTGCACCTAGCCTTCCCAATTCACAATTTACAAGCCAAAATACACCAAGATGCCTCCTTTCCCTCTCAAGGTCGGCTCTCTCTCTATTCCAAGACACAAAATCTGGTTTTGAGCTCAAATGTACAAATTGAGTGTATATGGCCTCTCACATAAAGTCCCACTAACCATTACTTAATATTATTAAATAATTGGGCACTAAATTCATAAATTTAATTGATTTAATCTGACCCGAATCAATTTTCAATTAAATTCCACCGTAGGCTCTAAACATTATGTCAATCACAATGGCGTAATCAATTTCGGGTTCTGTCGCCGATAAGGACTCCAATTTAATTTTCGAAGCGGAAAATCAAACAGATATTCCTACGGTGAACAGATAAAAATTCAAAACCACATATTTTCACATAATGGTGTACCAAATCATATCAAAACACATAATCACATTCATATTAAGGACCAATTAACATATTACGGAACAGGAGTATCACAAACAACCAAGTCAAGTTTTGAAAGTAAATCCATATGAGCATGTCATAACCTTCTATGCCATAGCCAGCCAGATTCATTTATACCAAATAAACACTTAATATCATGATTAGGAGATAAACTGTGCAAATCAAATATATACACATTTTCATGCATATGACTAACAAAAAGCACTTTGTTATCAGCTAAATTTTTAACGGTGCAGTGGGATTTTTCAAAAGTGACATGATTGCCTTTATCAGACATTTGACTAATACTAAGCAAGTTGTGTTTTAATCCTTTAACAAGCAACACATTTTCGATAATGGGTGAAGAAGTTTTACCAATACTACCTTCGTCGATGATCTTTCCCTTACTATTGTCTCTGAAGGTTACGTGACCTCCTCATTTGGATTTAAGGGTTAAGAACATTGCTCTATCGCTGATCATGTGCCTTGAGCACGCACTATCAAGGTACCACCGGTTGTTGCTGGATTTTGACCTAAAGCACACCTGCAAAAATCAAATTTTCGTTGGCCTTTTGGTACCCATTCTTTCTTGGGTCCATGAGAGTTAGGAGTTGAAGTATTTTTGGGAACCCACTTCTTTTTCATTCTATCAAATGAGTTTCTCTTAGCAGGACATGAAAGAGAGATATGACCTTTTCTTCCACAATAATGACATGTGACATGAGAATGGTTAGATGATGCATGAAAAAGGTCTTTTTCGAATTTTTTGCTTTTGATTTGAGAATTTTATCTAAGGTATCTCTACTTTGAGTGAATTTTGAAAGAACATTTTTTTAAATCTTCTATGTTTTCATTTAAACAGTTTTCTCCTTTTTCAAAGTTTCATTTTCTTTTTGCAAATCATCTACTTTCTTTTCAAAAATGAAAGATTCTTTTTCATTTGAAAATTCTTTCTCATTTTCCCTTGTCAAGACTTCATTTTCTAAAGTATTGATCTTAGAAGTCAAGAATTCATTTTCTTGAGATAAACTTGAGATTATTTGCTTTTGACAACTACTTTTCATACTTAATTTTTTAAATTCAGCATGTAATTCATCAAATGTAGTTTGTAATTCATCAAAGGTAAAGGAGTCATCATTTTCCTCATTTTCATCTTTAAGTGCCATCGAGCATAGATTTGCGATTTCATTTTTGCAAATATCAGTCTCTGAGTCGCTGTCATCACTGTCTTCTCCCCATGTTGTGATCATGGCTTTCTTCTTGTCCTTCTTGAATTGTTTCTTGAGCTCTGGACATTCCGATTTGTAATGTCTCGGCTTGTTGAATTCATAGCAAGTAACTTCAGATTTTTTATGACTTTCTCCTTTTTGAAAATCTTTGTTGAAGTCTTTTTTGAAGAACTTCCTTACATCTTGTTTCTTCTTCACAAATTTTTTGAACCTTTTGGTAATAAAAGCCATTTCTTCATCTTCCTCTGAAGCATCTTCTTCTTCCTCTTGAGATTTTGAGGTAGACTTGAAAGCTATCCCTTTCTTCTTATTCTTGTCTTTTTCTTCTTCTTTTCCTTCTTGCATAATGATCTCATGAGTTAGAAGAGATCCCATTAACTCATCAAGACTTAATGTTGACAAGTCCTTTGCTTCTATCACTTCAATAACTTTGTTCTCCTAGCTGTTTGGCAATGAACGGGGGACTTTTCTAATAATTTTTGCATTAGTATAAGTCTTCCCAAGAAATTTGAGACTGTTTATAATATCCGTAAAGCGAGTGAACATTTGGGATATGTTCTCATTAGGTTTCATCTTGAAGAGCTCATAGTTATGAACAAGCAAACTCACTCTAAACTCTTTGACTTGAGTGGTTCCCTCATGAGTGACAATAAGTTTATCCCAAATTTCTCTTGCCATTATACAAGTGCATATTTTGTTAAACTCAGTAGCATCAAGTGCCCAATACAACATATTAACAGCTTTGGTATTGGATTGAATATCCTTATAATCAACACTAGTCCATTCACTCTTAAGTTTGGGAACTAACAGATCATCTATGGTTTTGGTGGGGACTTTAGGACCATCACAGATAATTTTCCAAACCTCATAGTCAATAGATTGAATATGTATAATCATATAGGTTTTCTAATAGTTGAAATTTGTGCCATTGAAGAAAGGTGGTCAGTTTGAGGCTTGACCTTCAGGAAGAGAGGAGTTAGGGGTTGCCATAGATCACTCTAAGACAGTTAAGTCATAATACTAGAGACGAGGCTCTGATACCAATTGTTAAACAAGAAAGCAACCCAAGAGGAGGGGTGAATTGGATTAATTAAAAAATTTGGCCAGAAAAAGATTTCAAAAAACTAAGAGATTAAATGCAGCAAACAATCAATAAATGCATAGAAAATAAAAAGAAAGGAAAGAAGAGCTCAACACAAGGATTTATAATGGTTTAGCTCACCGGCCTACATTCACTCCTCAAGAGACCTCCTTAAGAATTTCTTCACTAAGAATCAATGCACCACCAAGCTTCACCTAGCTTGTGGATTTTTACAAAGGACTTACTTCAATTTATTGAGGACCTCTCAACTAAATGCCTCACTTTACAAGTGTTTCACTCAGAAAACAAGGAACAAGAGAAAGAGGTTCACCTGTCCTCTTTTACAAATATACTCTCTCAAAAGATGGATATGAAAGTGTAAGCTCACAAGTAATTTAAGACTCACTCAGATATGAAATGGAAAGTACAATGGAGTATATTAAAAGCTCTTGATTGCTCTTTAATGCTCTGAGTTTCTTTGTATTGAAGAAGTGTGTTTTCCAAGAAAGAAGAGTTTCTTCTTTGTAGCATTAATGGCTTCTAGCTATTGGAGAGAGGAGATTTGAATCTTCTAGCCGTTTGAGCAAATCATGGAAGATATCTTCCAGCTATTGTTTGATTAGAGTATGGAGAAGGCAGACTGTAGGCAGGTCTTGGGAAGAGAAGGTTCATTTAATGCATAAGCTTTATTTAATGCTCAATCTCGTAAGTCAACTTCATGGTAAAAGATATGGAGCCAGAAGATCTACTTAGGGGTCAGAAAAGATGACATACTCTGCACAAACATGTTAAAAAGTGGCTGAGAAAAAGGCTGTGTCAGTCCAGATCTAATTTGGCAGCCAGATTTTTGAAACCCAGATTTTACAAGTGTCGACCCCTGCAAATTGGGTGTCAACCCTTTGCTCTTCTTCTCTCTTTTGAGTTTAATTCCAGGTGTTCTTGGTGTCGACCCTTGCTGCTAAATTGCATTCTGAAATTTAGTATCGACCCTTGCTGTTCTTGGTGTCGATCCTTGCTGCTGAATTGCATTATGAAATTTAGTGTTGACCCTTGCTGTTCTTAGTGTCGACTCTTGCTGCTGGATTGCATTATGAAATTTAGTGTCGACCCTTGCTGTCTTGGTATTGACCCTTGCTCCTAGAACACTTAGACATTTTTGAGCTTTGCTCTGGTGTCGACCTTTGCTATTTTGGTGTCAACCCTTGGACTTGTTTCAAGTATAACTAGAATTTTGCATCCAAATGCTAATCTTGTGTTTTGAAGGGCCAAAAATCATTGAAAAACAACACTCTAGAATCCTATAACTTCTAGAACCTTTGAAACACAATTTGTATACTATTATTTTGAAAACTTTGAATAATAAAATGATTTCAAAAATATTTGTCAATAATCAAAATCAATAAGAATTTATATTTGAATAACCTTGGGGGTAACATAAACTATTTTCTAATCCACGGCATTGAGCATTGTATTATATTTAACACATTTGAAAGTGTATATTGTTTTGAGAAAAATGGGTGAATACCTTGGCGAATCTGGGTAGGGGGTGTGGTTATGGTATTATGTTGGCCTATGTATCCTTGGTGAAAGTCCATAAACCCGCATAACTAAGTGTCAAGCCTTTCGGTTAATACCGGTAAAAATGACAATTGGTAGTAGTTGTATAGTCTACTTGCAGACACGTACTTAGGGATATCCAGAGTGTGATTCACTGCACTGTTTTCTATTGTAAAACAAATGTTTTCATGAGTTGAGATATAAACCTGGCATTGCATGGTTTTGGAAAGAGATGTAAAATGTTTTCGGCACGAGCATTGCATATGCATACAACTTATATCTTTGTTAAGATTCATAAACTGTGTTAGAGTATTTCTATTGGGTTTTGGCTCACCCTATGTGGGAAAACCATTTTTAGGTGCTGATGATATGCCTCCGCCAAGGCAATAGCCTAGGAGGATTTGGAGCAAGAGTTTTATTTTGTTTAATTGTTGTATTTATTTTGTATAAGCCTAGGGCTTTATTTGTATTGACTTTAATCTCACTTTTATTGTAACCAAGTATTGTCTTAGAAATTTGTAAGTCTTTAGGGCATTTCTTATGTGTTTAACTCTTATTTTGTATCTTTAACTTGTAACACATGCTATAGATGCAGCATTAGGACTTGTGAAAGTATAACTACATGTGCTACCTTTTGTACCACGGAATCATATGAAATGAAAGGATACCTATTTCAGAAAACTATATTTATACATTGTTGTCATTTGTTAATATTATGGATGGTTCTTTATAATTATTTCGGGGTGTCATAGAGTAAAGGAGAAATAGTTATTAGGAAGGTATATCGAACCTTGTGATGTATATAACTCTTAAAAAAAAAAAAAGATTTTACAAACTCTTCTTTTTACAATTTTTGCTTATATCTAAAACATGTATTTTGGAAGTTTTATTCCAAGAAGAAATTACTTCTATTTTAAAAGGTGAGAATATTCTTTATTGGGTTGTTCATAGTTATGTGGGGTGGGTGATGTACATATGTGAAATTTGTGTGGGAACACAAGGTGTGCCTCGGTAGAAGTTATTACTGTCAAACATTATGAATTACATAGATCACCTTCATGATCGTGAAATTATTCTTCTCAATTAAGTATGTGTAGAGTTAGTCTTGAACTTTACATTGTATAACTTGTGTGTACTTGGGAAGAGACGTGATCTCGATAGGGGGAGATTGAGATTGTTGGTAAAATAGTTATTTGTCACTCCCCATTTTTATTACCAGGTTAACATTACCATTTCCGTTGTTAAAATTCATTTTCATTAATACAACACGGAAATGAAATCCACTGATGTCCATTAATACATAAAGACTCCCTTAATCATATAAACAAATTGAAATGCAACATGAATTACAATTAATTAAATTGTCCATAGGCTTACACTATTACATAAAAGAGAAAGGGCTCAACCCTCTTTGCAACAACGACATTTCGCCCACAAATAAAGACCCCGTGGCCAACTCGTAAGGAAGATCACTAATCTTGTATCACTTATCAACTTGTACCTGAAAAAGGATCAGCAATAGGGCTGCAAATGAGCCAAGTTGTTCATGAACAGGCTCAGCTCGGCTCAGCTTGGTTTATTTAGTAAATGAGCCAAACTCGAACTCAAATAGGCTTGTTTAGTAAATGAGCCGAGCTCGAGCTCGCATAAGCTCGGCTCATCAAGTTTGGCTCATTTATCTTTATTTAAATTATATAATAAATATATTATTTATATATTAAATAATATAAATAATATTTTTTATTTAAATAATATAAATAATATTAAAAAAATCTTATCGAGTTGAGCTGAGCTGATCAATCGAGCTCAAGTTTCATTAATATTAACGAGTTGAGCCAAACTCAAGCCCAATTACTTATCAAGCCGAGCTCGAGCTCAATAAATGAGCTTGATAAGTAAACGAGCCGAGCTTGAGCTTAGCAAAGCTCGGCTCGGCTCGGCTCCGGTCGTTTGCAGCCCTAATTAGTAAAGTGGGATGAGCATAAAGCCCAATAGGAATCCCAACATGATCGTAAACAATATCAGCATACAGATAGCTATGATTATGAATGCATCATATCATATAATATAAATAATGTGACGATTTATAATTAAAGCATAATTATCTATAAACTTTTTCCAAAAATCATCCAATTTACTCAACAATGCAAATAGCTCTCTCTTCTTTCTCTTATATTATCCATTTCATAAAGAATATATATTAACAACACGTTTCGATAACGTGTTCACAAAACTCAATTGCCTTTCATTCCTTACACTCCCTACCATCACGTGCACCCATTACTAATACATGAACCACATTTCCAAGCCCTAAGCCAAAGGGTAATGAAACATTTCTACAACCCGTCTGACACACAAATGTACATACAATACCTTTAACATGAAAAGAAAATAACGTACATGCCAAGACTACTACACAACCATATGAGACAACCCATCCTTATCAACCAAATCGCTACCACATATAATATACACAAATAAACTTGTTCAACAATGAAACCTCAACCCATGCTCTACCTGCCTCAAGCACAGTAAGCCAAGGATACACTTTTCTACAACGAAATATCAATTTACCAGACACAAATTGGAAGGGAATGGTACCTCTGCCAATTTACTAGACACAAGCTAAAAGAGAATGGTATCTCTGCTAAGTTCTCTAGACGCTAGCTGGAAGGTAATGGTACCTCTCATTCTTAGCGCAACATACATCACCAACCATCACAACATGCTAAAAGCATAATAACACAAATGTAATACATACACACAATCTATTCAACACATCAATATCATCTTCCACTGATGACCAAGGACAACCCCTAAGCACATGTATTTGATACTCATAACTACAACCATCCAAATCTCATGGGACATAAGTACAACAACAATAATATGTATCAAATGTTCATATGTCCAACCTCTCATTTATTCTCAATTTACAAAAGAGTTATAATTTCATTTTCTTTCTTTAATAGTCCCTAATCCATTGTTAACCGAAATCATAACCCAACTCAACTCAACTCAACTCAGCATATATTTCTCAAAACAATCTCAATATCTCTGTTAATTTCCTTTTTAGCAATTATTACATTAATACCATCCACATAATACATAACGTAACTATTACTCAACTTTCCCTCTCTTTATTTCATTAAACATTTAATAATAAAAATTATGGGTTTTCCTCCATTCATAATATAAATAAGATAGACTACCTTCCAATACACCAAAACCTTCCAAAAATATATAATTTCACTTTCTA